GCCAAAATTCGGCCAGATTTTAATCCGATTAGAAGACAACAGTGGGTACATTCATTTGAAATACTACAAAAATTATACGAAAAGCAACGGTCATTCGTTTGAAATTATTAAGATGGAACATATACAAAGACACACAATATATGGGACAAACTTGCAATGAACTGTCTTCATAAAGCTTAAACGAGGATAAACTTCATAAATAATATATTTCATCCGAACAATTTAAATTATTAAATGTAACTGTTACCTTTTAAATAAACTCTCTTACGTCAAATCGGCTGAATCGAGGAACATATATTAAGTGCTTAGTGCAAGTACAAACAAGTAGAAGATAATCAAATGCAGAATTTAAGCTAACAAAAACAAAATATCCAAAACAAGTCTACGTTATATTACTATAGGCCTATATTGAAAAAAAAAATGTAAACTTTTCAAAAATTCGGCCAAATATAGTTTGGCCGTGACTTTTCAAATGCTACGGCCAAGCAAATTTTTATACGGCCAGATTTGAGGAATCTGGCCGTCAAAAAGGCCAAAGGCAACCCTGATCCACACGCGTTGGCAGGAAATCATTTTTTCCTGTACTTTGGTTTGAGGCAGTGACGTCAGAGCCGTAGATAGAGAGAGTTTGGCCAACTCGGTTTCAATCACGTGACTTACACCGGCCATGTTGTCACCAAAAAAAAAACAACGCGATAGGGTAGGAAGTTAGCGGTTATTATAGATGATTAATGCTATATAATGTGAAATACCGTTATGTTGGGTTTGGGGTTGCTGCAATCGATCCAACAAAGGAACAAAAATGTATTAATTTCCTTAAATTCCAAAAAGGAGGAGGATTTGGGATTTTATTTTAACTTTGCATGGCGATCGAAAAATCTCGCTACCCACGTAGTAAATTATAAGGCATGTACCGCCCGCCCCACTTCGCGGTAATAATATCCACCTACTACTACTAGGCCTAGACAGGCCTAAATTTCGGTACTCTTCAGCCGAACACCTTAAGGTAGTACTTAAATCAGCTTAATTACGATGATAATAAAAAAAAAAATTAAAAAAAGGAAAAATTTTCAAGCAGCAATGATTTATAAAAAGATGCAATGTTGCACTTTGCTGTTAAATTATATAACTAAATTTCCAGAAAGCTACATGAAGTATCAGTCAAAGGTAGCTTAAATTATAATTAAAAATAAAAATTGAATCCGCCAATAAAAGCGAAAACTTGTCCAAGGAATCCTGTGCTATACAAACATGCCCAATTGTGCTTTACAAATCAATTAATTGTTCAACTAAAGATTTTAAAGATAAAAATATATTTAAAGATATAGGCCTAATTGTATTATAATATATTGATTGTTTTAATACATATTTTAAATCAAAACGTTTAAATGTTTTACAAATTACAAATCAAAATTTCAATGAATAGTAAATAATGAATAATAAATAATAATAATAATAATAATAACAATAATAATAATAATAATTATAATAGTAGTTATAATAATAATAATAAATAATAATACAGTAATAATAATATTATAACTCACTAATTATAAACAGAAGTGTGGAGAATGTTGCTATTTTACTTACAATGCCTAGCTTCTTGATTATGAATGATTAGGCATATGTTGTACAAAAATTTTTCAATGCAATAATTCTTCAACTTTGATTTATTGTTTAGATTACAATTTACAAATATGCCTAGGCCTAGGCCTAGGCTATTTGTTGGTTTGAAGATGGCCAGCATATTTTATTTCATAAATTAGTTTACGAAGTCATATCTAGAGGCCTAGATACAATTTGAATTAGAAAACTTTCATGTTATTAATATTTTTATCATTCATTTACAGGCGAAATTAACATATTATCGCCGACGATTCACAAACCTACTCTGGCTGCACAACAAACCTTTCTCCCGGAGTGTTGATTCTTAGGAGCCTCATGCTATAGAGTAGGCTGCTAGCAACTAGGTATAGGCCTAGATGATAGACTTTCAAAACAAAAAGATAATCGTAACGAAAGAAAAATAAAGAATCGTCCTCACTTTATCTTCTCGAAATAATACAACACGTCACTGATTAATTAATTCCAAAGTTAGGTAAATATGATTATACAGTATATGATATTTACAATGATATGTTAAAATCCCATAATTGAATTGTCCTCATGAACAGAATAATGAAAGAAAGTTTATGCAGCGTCAGTGTTTTATAAAATGTTATAAAGCTATACGCGCGCACGCTGTTTGGTGACAACATGGCGCCCATGCGCCAAGTTGGCCAAACTCTCTCTATCTACGGCTCTGACTCAGATCCTGACTCAGATTCTCAGATTAAAACTCTAACTCAGATTACTCAGATAACTATATTGATATAATTACTTATCCAATTTCATATTATACTGTAATAATTTACTATTTTTTTAGCAGTTTTTTAATCCTTGTTGATAGACGGAGAGCCCCTCTTCAATTAGGCAATCCATCCAATAAGTGGCTTCGCTTATTTTGGCGAAATAAATGATATATGACGACAGCAAAAAAAATAAATATGTCTATCAGATAAGTCTATTCAGGCCTCTAAATATAAAAATGTAATTAAGATTAGTTACTCTTTTATATTATTTTCGATTACATCTGTGTTGTTCATGTTATCTATTTTCTGTGGAAAAAACCAATAATAAAACAACAGAATATCCTAGTATTTTTCTTCGAGAAATAGGTGATTTTCGAAATCATAATAAAAAAAAAGGGCTATATTTTTATCGACATTGTCGTTTTACCAACTTAGATGACTACTAGAGACAAATGTGCGAGCCCTATCTTTATGTTTTCATAATACTGTAAGGTTCCTTTGCTAAAAAATCATTCCTATTATTGTTATTTATAGTAATAAATATTAAAAGGGTATATGTCAAGTGGGCCGCATCATTTTCGTTCACAAATTGATAGTACACCACCTATCACCGTCTGAAAATGATTATTTAAAAGTAAAGGGCAATCCTTTGTCTCCTTAATTCATTGGTCTTGTTACCATATCGTTTGCCCTGCCTGATTTATCAAAATCAGTGTTGGCAGCCCAGATTGAAGAGCCAGTTTCATTACTTCCTTGGCCGGGGCGCGGCCGGCTTTGCCGATTTCAATGATTCGTAAACCGGTTATCTAGATTGTTGTTTTTTAAAATTGAATATGAGAGAGCCCCTATACAAATTTTGTGTTATTAAATTGATTATTATTATTTATAAATATCAAAATAGTATAGGTCAGTTGGCATCAATAAACTGATATTGCGTACCGGTATGCGGCATTTAATTGTCAAGCGCCGCGTGAGCACGCTCAAATATTCGAATTCTAAAGAAAAATTCTAAATCACCCTTTTGAGATTAAATACCGTAGTTATTAATTAAGTAATAACATCATAAACACCATTAAACATGTGAACTGTGTAATATACCTAACTCATATACTTTGCATGTGTTTATCGGAAGATTTGAACACAAAAATGGACGGTGTACCTCGTGACTTTCGCAAACCGAGGAGCGGAAGTGTCGCAAATCTTTATATATAATATATGGCCCTGAACAGGGTCAGAACAGGGTTAGAGTTCCTAATAGGAACTCTACAGGGTTCTATATATCAACTCCTAACAGGGTCTATATTTGACCTGTTTGCCCTGGTGGTTTCACCCCCTATAAATAGTTTTTTTTTATTTCATAAGGTTCAGGACTGCCTTTATTTTCTATCATCATGCATCATGGTTGTCGTCATCGTCATCATCAAATCATATAATTCAATCATTTTAAATACAAACCATGGTGAACGTCGTAACGAATTATAATAAATGCAAAATAATAGTATTTTCGGATTTACAAAAGCATTAAAAAATATAAAAAATTCTAAGAAATATTTGTTAATTCCCCCCTCCCCATTTTTTGCATCTACCAAGCGTCATTAATGAATGCAGTATATAATAATTATAGATTGATATATCATGTTAATTGTGCTTTAGAATATATTCGGCAATTTTCATGAATTTCCTTTTTTCTTTTTGCATTTTAATTTAATGAATATGCATGTAAAATAAATTATAAAAGTTATAATCAGCTTAGTATAATTAACAACATAACGGAAAAAGAAATAATGTATTGACTTTTTTTACTATATCAGTTAAATTTACCTAATGAGTTGCAAAATAATTAATTTTGACAATAATTATCAGTGCAGGTAAAATACATCTATTGACACACAATCAGCAAGAATATTTAATAACATTTATTTATTAATAACAATTATTTTGAATATTTAAGTTTTTCTTTACATTTGACACCATCCATGCGTAATACTGTATTGACCCACAGCTAGCTGTTATTCGTATCATGTTGTCCGGTAGTGTCGGAGTCGACTGGCTGGTACTTAGTAGTGTGGTACAAAGGTTAATTGCATTTATGGCTTAGGTGTCGCCGTGATGCCTCCCTCCGTTCAGTCGAGTTAGATAACCTGGAGGTCGTGGGTTCGATTCACATGAGCCATTTAAAAAAAATTTTGTTATTGGTTAGTATATGGGGACGCTAGTAGATCCCCGAAATATGACAATTTAGGGGTATTAAAGATTTATTTAGTCGAATTTTAGTCTATGAATATGTACAAAATACATATATTTTTTCTCTTTTCTTTTCTCCCCTACGAACTGTGGTTTTTCTCCCCGACGATGGAGGAAGGCCTCTCCAACCTGGGTGACCACCCGTAGCACCACTGTTTTGGTCATGGTCCCAGAGTTCAGAATTATAGAGAAAGATACTTGTGACATATTTATTGAACATTCTCATCTTTAGATTTAATTGAAATTATAAAATCTAATTTAAAAAACGGAGGAGGGTTTGAAGACTAAAGAGGGAGAGTAGGCCTAAGTTTCTTTTCGAGATGGGCTTCTTCTCATCAGCCCGTATTTTCGAGGTTATACGGTGATCGCTCGATCGCTCTCATATCTTGCGGATTGATATTTATACTGATGTTAGCGCATGCGTAAGATTTTCCATTGAAAAGAAGGATCATCGAACGAAGACAACGAACGAACGCGAAACGAAAGGAGGATTCGTTGAATATTTGGTAGGCTTCTAGCCTAGCCCTACTTATTTCCTGGCTTAGGTAAGATTTATTGATAAGTCGACATATTGATGATATATTTATTTACTTTTTGTATTATCTTTAATGTTTGTTATGTATTTAAATACCTAAGTGATATCCACGCCATAAAAATGTAGTATTTGGGTTGTGTAGTACAACCAACCAAGTTCCTTTGTGATGGTACGGCGATGATATACAGTACTACTAGTTGAGCTAGAGAAGATGCCTTGCCGGGAATTGAATGAAAGTTCGATCTACAGTGTAGAGTACTGAATCAAGTTTGTTTTCATTGGTACGATATCCTTGGCTGTCAGTTTTAGTGTGACTTTCAAAAGATGTTGTGATATTTCTGTATGTGATTAAATGGTCAATTCTGATGTGCACCATAACATTTAAAGGATTTAGTTCTAGGCCAGCTTAATAAATAGTGTTTTTGATAAAACTCAGTTTTAAAGTATTGTTTAAAAAAATAAAATTGTTTCTCCCATTCATTGGAGAAAGTTTGTAATGTATAATCCAGACCTCTCTGCGATGGTTAAAGTATTCAGGCATTAGTAAAATATTATACTTGGTCCAGGTGCTTGTGATGTAAAGATAGGACGGGCATTACTTAATATATAAACATTTTTAGAACAGTGTTCCATGACAAAATTTGTCACCAACACACCAAGAAGAGACACAAACTTAAAAATTCACAATTTTAAAATTTTTTTTTCTTCTACATTTTCAGTAATTGGTGTATTACTACTACTATTATTAATACAAATAATAATAATTATGTAGGTTTTTATATAGCGCTCTATATAACTAAGTCTCAGGGCGCTTTTCCGCATTATTACCCCAGTCTTTGGACACGATGCATATTGGGGAAATTCCATAGTTTGCTGCATTAAATATTTCAGCGCATTTTGCACTCGAACCTCCTTAGGTACCCACATATACTCCTGGGTGGAGAGAAGCAATGTAGATAAAGTGCCTTGCTCAAGGACACAATGCACAGCGGGGGATTGAAACCCTGACCGAGTTTGGGAAGCCAAACCGTTCCCGCTGCACGAAACCACTTGCACAATACTAATAGGCCTAGGCTTAGAGAGAGCAGCTTAGCTCAGTCAGCTAATCTGGTGGTAGCCACTGTGTGTGCGCTGAACTGTGGAGATCTCGGTCCCTGTTCACTGTTCAATTCCCATCGCTGCCTCTCCTTGTGTTTCTACTGGAGGGCTGAAATATAAGTTACAATAGTGCACCGTCTTTCGGATGAGATGTTCCCGTGTACATTTAATACCCATGGGCACGTTAAAGAACGCAGTACAATCTTCGGAAAAGAGTAGGTTATTGTCTCCCGGTGTACTGCCCAATCACCACCAGAAAGATAAGAAAGTATAATACATACTCCAAGTATTGAAATACACGCCATCGTGTTGGGATTCAATATTTCGACATTAATTATGTCATCA